AGAGGGTCTAGACCCGAAACGTCAGCTTTCCTGCTCCTCTGATGCTGCTTGGCCTGCTGTGTTCACCCAGCTCTACACCTTGTTATCTCAAATCCTCTAGCATCCGCAGTTCCTACTATCTCTTCAGCTGAATGAGTCAAGTCTCCCTTCTCATCCATTTCAGAATAACCCTGTATTGCCTTCTGCTTCCATAATTAGCACCAATCACAGCCTCAGATTGGTATTTACACACTCTTAGCAGTAAAGATATTTCCCTAGTATTCTGAATTCTCCATTTGATTTTTGCTAACTCTCTCATATTGACAAATCATCCCCAAATCGAGGAAACTTTGCACTGACATTTTCAAAAGCTTTTAATATTCATCAGGCAAGCTCTTATCTCCACTATTCATTAGACAATGTCTCATGTCATCCTTGCATTGCCTCTAGACAAAAAAAAAAGCACATTATATTAAGACTTGGCATTGCATAATGTGACAGGATTTATCAATAACCCCAAGGCAAGACAACCCCATCCAGCAGTGACCACAATATATTTTTCTAATTCACTCATGGGATGTGGACATTTTTGGTTGGGTTAGCATTCTTTGCCTGTCCCTAGTTACCCTTGAAATGATTATTTATGCCACCATGTCATAACACCAAGGGAGCACAGAATTCAAGTAACATAAAGACTTTATAAATGAAAATACACACATGGCAGATAATAGGCAAATGAAAGACAATGGACATGAGAAAAGCCATGTGTTTAGACTGAATAAGTTCCATCTGCAACTGCCCACATCAAGCCTCCACCAAACCCAACATGTCAAATATGCTTAGTTGCATGTCATAAACAAAACATGTTTCTTGCATAAATTCGACAATATAGAAAACAGGGTATTTGGTCTTGGAAAGTAAAGATTACACAATTAAATCAAAACTTCATGCTAACTTAATGCTAATATAGTGAATAATTTTGCTCCCCCCGCATCTGGCATTCAAATCTACCTTATCAACAAAGGGATGATCCATGAAGTCTGGTCCACCTATGCTGAGATTCAGTACATCTATCTTCTTCAAAATTGCATAATTAAAGGCATCGAGGAACCAAGAGGTGTAAGAGACCTATTTAAAAACAATCAGAATTACTTATTTCCATAACTTACATTAATCTACAGCAAAACACTAGATATCTATTTCTTTATTTCACAAATTTGTTGCTAAACAGCCAGTCAAGATAAAACCCGAAAGAACTGCGGATGCTGGAAATCAGAAACTAAAACAGAAACAGAAATGCAAAAAAAAAAAAAAACACTCAGCAGATCTGGCAGCATCTGTGGAGAGAAATCAGAGTTAACATTTTGGGTCCAGCGACCCTTCCTCAGTCAAGACAGTGCTGTAGAACCGTCATCATTGCCAGACTGATCAATCAAGAAGTGATTCACAAGCACTTAACAACAAATCACTCAGTAACATTAGGAGATAGCTATATCCACTGAGGCAATATTAGTCACTTTAATAAGAATAGAATTCAACAGCCTAAACTACATTCCCAAAAGATAATCCAGTAAACCAATGTTAAAGAAACAGCATTCGTGATAGAGGAATACTGAAGCTCAATGAGCGTGTTTTGGATTCACACAAAATTAAAGGTCTCCTCTGCTGAAGGCAGTTTAACTTTACAGATAGTTTTTCTTTCAAAAAAGATGACAAGTGACAAATAAAAATCCAGAACAATTTCCAATAACAAGTAAAACTCAAAATTCACAAAAAACAAAAATTTAGCAATGAGAGATAGCAAGAACTGCAGATGCTGGAGTCTGAGATAACAGTGTGTGGAGCTGGAGGAACACAGCAGGCCAGGCAGCATCAGAGGAACAGGAAAGTTGATGTTTCAGGTCAGGACCATTCTTCAGAAAATTTAGCAATCATTCTTTTACTACAACACGTTTAAAAAAAAGTCTACAAAAATGAATGGTTACTAACTTTTGGATAAACCAAAGGGTATTCCACTAGCAAATTTGAATTTTAAAAAAGGCATGAAGCTTGGACTTGGATCTTTCCCCCCTGACCAATAGCTGGCAATCTTTGGTCTTTTTTAAAAAGAGGTCACACCAACGGTCTTTCAAAATTGAGTACAATGAAGGTTACCAGCCAGCAACTGAACCAAAAAGAAATGGCAAGCATACCAGACTCAATATTTTGATATTTTTATGCTCATTTACCACTTCCTTACATGTGAATAGCTAATACCATATAAATGAAAGAATGACACAAAGTCTAATCCACCGAAAATCAGGTGGTCAGTTGAGTTTCTCTTGCTGTTAAGTTGACCTGGGAATTTCAGGGTGAAGAATCAAACACGTGCATCACAGTGTGACTTTAGAACAAACTGCACAGGCATGTACTTCAAAGTCAATATTAAAGTCAACCCCCTGAAGTTAATACCATGTGGAAATACAGACTTCCTTTTTAAATTCTTCCTCGCTCATTTTCCTTTCCTCTGCTTTGCAGCTTTTCTTTATCTGAAAAGATCCAAACAGGCAACCTGCACAAGATCTAACACTGCACTGTTAATTATATAATGTTAATGAGGTATGATGTGGAGGTGCCAGTATTGGACTGGGGTGGACAAGATCAGAAATCACATGACACCAGGTTATAGTTCAACAGGTTTATTTGAAATCACAAGCTTTCTGAGCCCCACTCATCCTCCACGTGTTAGTAAAAGAGGTAGTATCAGACACTACTGATACTACCTCTCTCATTAACACACCTGAAGGCGGCGTGATGCTCCGAAAGCTTGTGTTTTCAAATAAACCTGTTGAACTATAACCTGGTGTCGTGATTTCTGACCTTAACAAGTTATAGAGGACAACTACTTAGCTCAACCATCCACAAAAATTTCCACAAACCTACATCTCCAAAATCACAAGTCAAGCATTTACTTGAGCATTGGTTAGACTATTCTACACTGAAGCACATGCCATTCGTTGATCACCAAGTGAAGAATACACTGATGAGCCCTAAATCAACTCCTGCACACCACCACCCCGCCCACCCCCTTTATAAATAAGCAGGTATACAAGGCCACAGTAACTCTTCACGCCATTGTGATTTGGCATTAAAGCATTGTTAAATTTTTAAGAACTCTTCAGCCAAAAAACTTTTGTGCAGGATGACAATGTTATAAAGTTGGGTAGAGTAACTGTAAAGTGGAAGCCAGAAAAATAAAATGTGCAGTTCCTTTAAGAGATTTGTGCTTTGTCTGTACTTAGAAATTAAAAAAAACGTATGTCTGTAGTTGCCAGTACAGAGAGCCTCAAAAAGTGAAACAAGTGTATCAAAAAAAAAAAAGCCTTACAGGTGGCAGGTAAAACAGCACAGTCTTGTTTGGATGTTGTGACGAGTTTGAATTCGGCCAATTAATTTAAAAACAAGCTCTGCGATTCAAAGCCAATTGAATTTAAGGAACAAAAACAAAGTTGCTGGAAAAGCTCAGCAGGTCTGGCAGCATCCGCGGAAGAGAAAACAGAGTTAACGTTTCGGGTCCGATGTCCCTTCCTCAGAACCTTCCTCAAGTGAATTTAAATCTGATGGTATTGACAACCTGAAACCAATCATCTTGTAAGAATTTGATTTCGTCAGTACAGGTGTAAAAGATAAGGGCATTTGGAAGACTTGGGGAGAGGCAACTGTCATCTGCCAGAGTTAGCACCATTCAGCTCTCAGATAAGCCCATCTAATTAATCAAAGGTACCATGGCCAAAGTCCTCATGGAGGAAATTATAGAAACAAAACATTCCTGACAGCAGAATTAACAGAAAAAAGGAGTTTGTGAAGAGACCGGAGACAACAGAATATTCCTGAAGAAAGTCTGTGCAAACTTGGAGAGATTAAGTTATAACTTATTGCTTTTTATTAATTGGGTTTATATCAGTGGGACTTGTCTTTATTTAAACAGCATTCCAGTAGAATTTAGACCAGTCAGGGAGAAGTTAGTAGTCTAAGGGGGGAATTGTCAGTTAGTTAGTAATTTTGTTAATTTGTTCATTGTTGGACTACACAAATAAATTGTTTCTTGTTTCTTGTAAAGTGGAGATCAGGGATTTTCTCTCTTTTAACCAGTATTAACAGATTACAAGGAGAAAGGCGAGCTTTTCTGTGTGTTTCAGGGGGCAATTATCAGAAGGGAACCTCTAATCCCGTCATAGCAGATTGGGGCTGGTGTTTTAGTTTAATTACCAGAGGGGTTCGGCCATTCCCCATTGTAGCAACAGCGTAAAGTGTAAAACTTTGTTACTAAAAAAAAGTTTAGTGATTGGAAACTGAATATTACGACTTTCAGACATAGTAGCTGCGACAGGTGACGACCGTCATTCTGTACAACAATGGAAAATTATAGTGGAGGATAAAGAAAAGATATATGGAGTTCAGCGAGATGTTTGGCAAGGTTCCATACGGTAGACTGGTTAGCAAGGTTAGATCACATGGAATACAGGAACAGCTAGCTGCACAGATAAAAAATTGGCTCAAAAGATAGAGACAGAGGGTGGTGGAGGAGCGTTTCTTTTCGGACTAGAGGCTTATGACCAGCAGCGCGCAGCATGGATTGTTGCTGGATTGACAGCTTTTTGTCTTTTATATAAATTATTTGAATGTGAATATAGAACAAATAGTTAGCAAATTTGCAGATGAAACCAAACTTGGTAGTGTAGTGGACAGCGAAGAAAGTTACCTAACAGTACAACAGGACCTTGATCAGATGGGCCAATGGGCTGAGGAGTAGCAGATGAAGTTTAAATTTAGATATATGCGAGGTACTGCATTTTGCCAAGGCAAATCAGGGCAGGGCTTATACACTTAACGGTGAGATTCTGGGGAGTGTTGCCGAACAGAGACACCTTGGAGCGCAGGTTCATTGTTTCTTGAAAGTGCAGTCACAGATAGACAGGGTAGAAAAGGCGACGTTTGGTATGCTTGCCTTTATTGGTCAGTGCATTGAGTATATGAGTTGAGAGGTCATGTTTCAGCTGTCCAGGACATTGGTTAGGCCACTTTTGGAATACTGCGTGCAATTCTGATTTCCCTGCTACAGGAAGGATGTTGTGAAACTAGAAAGGGTTCAGCAAAGATTTACGAGAATGTTGCTGGAGTTGGAGGGTTTGAGCTATAGGGAAAGGCTGAATAAGCTGGTGCCCTGGAGCGTCAGTGGCTGAGGGGTTAGCTTATAAAGGTTTACAAACATCATGACGGGCATGGATAGGGTAAATAGGCAAGGTCTTTTTCCCAATGTGGGGTAGTCCAAAACTAGAGGGCATAGGTTTAGGGTGAAAGGGGAAAGATACGAAAGGGACCCAAGGGGCAACTTTTTCACACAGAGGGTGGTGCGTGTATGGAATGAGCTGCCAGAAGAAGTGGTGGAGGCTGGTACAATTACAACATTTAAAAGGTGTCTGGATGGGTAAAAGAATAGGAAGGGTTTAGAGGGATATGGGCCAAATGGTACTAGATTTATTTAGGATATCTAATTGGCATGGACAAATTGGACCGAAAGGTCTGTTTCTGTGCTGTACATCTCAATGACTCTATAAATACAATTGGCTAAAGCCACAAGTTCTGTTAGGCCTCATTTTAAGTAATTCCACTTCAACACTGGGAACGCACACTTAGCATTTTTTCATTTTAGCATTGTTTCACTCCAGACTAAAAGTGCATGGGACACGATCAATTTCATTTTCAAGTGGCCACATCCGTCGTTTCTTCATTCTTTCAGCCCTTTCCTAAGCACTTACTCATAGGAGGAGGGATGGCAAGCAAGAAGTAGAAAGTTAGCTTGTGACTTTATATTTTTACATTTTATTTTAAAAGTTTTGATTTAGAAATATAGGAATTTATGATATACAACATTTAAACTGACAAGGTATAACACTGCAGTGTCTTCTTCTTGGCAGAAACGATCCCACAGAACCCAAATACAGCTTTTATATTGGTTGCGATGCTTAACATTGGTTCATTTAAATTTGCACTCTTCAGGTATCAGATACAACATTAGCAGAGGAATGTCAATGTGTCACAATCGCTTTGAAAATGCTCATTAATGAAGTCTATTGACTACATACTTATGCTGGGCAATTATTAGCAGTGGACAAAACAAACAGAAATCTACTTAGAAGTAAATGAACAGTTAGGATTCAGGAAAGAATGTAAATTCATAATTTGCCTGCTGTCCATCACAATTCAGAGCTACGTCTAAAGCGCTCCCAAGGCATTTTCCACTATCTCATGCACTGTACAATTAACAGATATTTTACATCATAAAAAACGTGAGAAACTAACCACGAAAAGGGAGCCCCTCTAGTCTCAAATCTAATAATGATTTAGCTTACCTAGGAACTTAAGTCTCCCTCGAACACTGCAAAAAGATCACTTTTAATCATGCAGTTAAATTGAAAGAGATGAAGGATATAACAAGTTCGCAATTATCCAATGATATAATTTCATGACCAGAACTCAAGAGTACTCACCTCACTGACTCTCACACAAATTGGCAAAGCTAAGGCATTGTCCTTCACAGACTCTAATGACTCTGCATAGCAAATACAAAAGGCAGTCCAAAACCATTTGTACAGCTGTTAGAGATGTGAATGGAGTAAAAACAAAGCTAATGTTTCATGACGACAAAGGAGATGAACAATAAAAAGAAGTACTGCTAAAATTGGTATACCCTTCAAATATATCAACACAAACTATTTAAAAACCAAAGAACTGCGGGCATTGTAAATCAGAAACAAAAACAGAAGTTGCTGGAAATACTCGGCAGGTCCAGCAGCATCTGTGCAGAGAAATCAGAGTTAACGTTTTAGGTCCAGTGACTTTCCTCAGAACTGATGGTAGCTAGGAAAATGTCAGTTTATATGCAGAAGATAGGGTTGGAGGAGGGGGTAAGGAGTATATGATAGATGGGGGTACAGCCTAAAGAGAGAGAACACAGTTGGACAGACAAAGCAGTGGATAATAATGTGGCTGGGAGACTGAATAGGTGGTAATGGAGACTGTTAGTGACTAAGAATAGGTAGTGTGTAATGGCAGACTATGTGATAACAAGGCCTGATGTGTGGGTTTGGGGGCTAGGGCATGGGAGAGTTCAGTCCGGAGGGCTGCAGGGTCCCCAAGCGGAAAATGAGGTGTTGTTCTTCCAGCATGCGCTGAGCTTCACTGGAACATTCGGCAAGCCTGAGGCAGATGTTTGCATTAAAGTGGCAGGCAACTGAAAGCTCAGGGTGTTGAGGGCAGAACGTAAATGTTCTACAAAGCAGTCACCCAGTCTACGCTTAGTTTCCCCAATATAGAGGACACCACGTTGTGAGCAGCAAATGTAGCATGCTAGATTGTGTGAAGTGTAGGTAAAGTGCTACTTCACCTGGAAGGTACGTTTGGGCCCTTGGATGCTCATGGGGGAGGAGGTAAATGGGCAACCTTCGGCGGTTGACATTTTACCACCACCCTGGCCAATATCTGTGTCTCAGGCTTGCTGTAGTGTTTCAGTAAAGCTCAGTACAAGCCGGAAGAGCACCAACTCATTTTCCACTTAGGAACCCTGCAGCCCGCCAGAATCAGTATCGGAGTTCAATAGTTTTAGAACCCGAATTGTCCCATGCCCTAGACCCCCAACCCCACACATCAGGCCTTGTTATCACAGTCTGCCATTACACACTACCTATTGTTAGTCACTAACAATCTCCATTAACAACTATGCAGTCTCCCAGCCAGACTGTTATCCACTGCTTTGTCTGTCCAACCGTCTTCTCTCTCTTCGGGCTCTATCCCCATTTATCATTTACTCCTTACCATCTGCCCCCTACCCTATATTCTGCATATAAATTGACATTTTCCTAGCTACCATTAGTTCTGAGGAAGGGTCACCAGACCCGAAACATTAACTCCGATTTCTCCATTGCTGCCAGAGCTGCTGAGCTTTTCCAGCAACTTCTGTTTTAGTTTCTGAACACAATCTATTTATTGTGCAAAGGACAAATAGAGCCTCCCTAATATTATGTATACTATAATTCTGCATACATAAAGTGCACATAAACAATACAAATATTACACTCTAAAAGCAAATTCCTTCTGGCCAATATCCAACAGGAAAACAGATAATAAATAACTAGTCAGTAGGGAAGTATTTCAAACCTTACACACACTTTGATCTGACCAGGACTTCCAAAGAAATAAGAACTGGTTTTAGAATACTTAGCAATGCAAAAAATCATGCCCTGTTTCTCTACTGATAAATGAGTTAATTGGTGATTTAGTAACTTGACGTCTGTGCCTTTACCTACATGTTTAAGCCTGCTTCACTAATTTCTCTCACCAGGCTTCACAAACGTAAGACCTTGGACTGAATGTTCCCAGCAGGCAGAACTAAATAGATTTGTAATGTCACATCCCAGGCAACCATAAACAAGGCATGTACTTGGAATGATCCAGCCAAGTCAAACAATTGGTCTACTTCACTCTAGAACTAAATGGTTTATTCACATTAAAAACAGACTTTTGTGTATGACCACAGTAAAGAAATGTTCAATAGCTTAATCATCATACTGCCTGCTAAGGAAATTTTCTATGCATTGTCTTGTCAACGCAAATACATCAGCAGGTGAAATATTCACTTGTAACTTGTAGCAAATTACTATATTGTACAAGTCTGGAAAATTGCAAGATTAACTCAAGCTTGTGTTTTGATTATTATTCTGTTGTGAAAACAAGAAAATTTAAGATTATCTGTAACCTTAGAAATAATGACAATTACAATTTCTTGAGGCAAAGACCACTTTGCAAATTTTTCTTGAAACCCATTCCTCAGAAGGTCAGGAGAGAATGAAAAGTGAGCACTCATTACCTGGTTGTTTGTAAAGACTCTGAAAATGTGCAACTCTGCATCTGGTGCCAACCCCTGACATTCTCGCATGCTGGCAATCACTCCTGCAACAAACGTCCCATGTCCCAAGCCTAACATCAACAAAAAGCAAAGGAGGATATAGGTTCAAAATGGATGAAGTACCATCTGCAATGAATATCTTTTCCCATCAGATATGTCTAAATGTTGGAAAATTACTGTTTCTTCCTTTTCCTTACCATCATAACTAAAAGACTTCAATCTTAAAAAATCGTGGATGATCTCAAAATGTAATCCTCAAATGATGGGGTAGACATAGCATCACAGTATTAGACCTTAACGTGAAGCCATTTCTTATCCCAGCATAGCTTATTGTTGAAAGAGAAGAATGCTGAATACCCTAAAATTCATGTGTAAAGCTGTCCAAGACCTCTTTACAGGTTCTTTCCACTGAGGAACTTGCCACCTCTCAAGTCAGCAAACACTGCAGCAAAGACCCCTCCTGTTCTTTTCATAGAAATTTACATATTCACAAGGTAAAATTTTAAAACAGAATTGAATGCAATGAAGACTCAAATTAAATATTGAAAATTACATTCCTTCAGGCATGTATCACTTGTGCTACAATCCAAGTGCCTTGCTATACGCACATTAAAAACAGCAGCCATTGATCAAAGAAAGTTATTGCAGTATTAAAAAGGTGGTGGTGTTTTCTGTTAGTTAATTAATTAACGCATGTATTAGAACAAATGAAAATGTACACCATCTACTTAATTATTACACAATCTCAAAAGACATGCCTGGCAAGCAACCACTGATGAAACACTCAGATTGGGAAGCACATACATCATGCATTTTCAAAGCAAGATGGGAATATAAAAGTTACCTGCCTGGAAAATTGTTCAAGCTACTGACTAGCCACTTGACAGGTTTCAATCAAGAAACACAGCAATATATCAGCTGAGCAAAACTCAAGTTTACAGAATTATCCCTCAGTTAGTTCAAGAACAGAGCTATTTAGACCATGAAAAGAGCAGATCAAAATGTGGTAACCATTAAACAGTTGCAATAATTGCAAGAAAATTACTCTGCTGTCTTTTTCATCTTTGGATATACAGCAGTACAAATGATAGTCTAGCCTGCACCACACTTGCAGAAGAATTTCCAATTCAAGCTGGCAGCTTGAAAATCATTCCTCATTTGGAAAATAACTTCGTAATAAGTGATGGTTTTGCTGAAGAAAATGTAATAGCTAGTGACTGATATAGCCACTAACAATAAAAACCTTATGACCTATAACTACATTAAGCTGCAATCTCACACTGAAACTTGGAGTTCTTTTTTTACCTGAAGTGCTCTTTTTTCAGGCTACACTGCTCTGTTGTGGATTCTGAGTATCTCAAAGTTCTCTGCATTCTTTGTAACAAAATACAGTCTAATTATCTTCATTCACACGTATGCTAGGCTAATAGTTATGTTGTGGATCTGGTAACAAGACTGGAATACTGAGCCTTCAAACTCTGGTTGTAAAACTTAATTTGGTTGAATTTGGTAATTTAGGGCCAATCCAAGAAAACTGTGAAAACTGCTGAATAGTCATTAATGCCCTTCACACAAAGGAGCTGAGCACACCTACCCCATCTGTCCCATTGTGACTCAAGCCCCAGGATCTGTGGTTGACTTCTTGCTGCTCATGGGGCAACTTAAAGAGAGCCAAGTAATGTTGGATTTTTTTTAAACCCAGATCCTAAAGCTAAATTATTTAAAGTCATTCGATTCAAATGAGCTTTTAATCACTAAACTTCCTTGTTACTCATGGTACCAAATTCGACGGCAATCAATTATTTTAGCTTGAATCAGAGATAGTAGGAACTGCAGATGCTGGAGAATCCAAGACAACAAGGTGCAGGGCTGGATGAACACAGCAGGCCAAGCAGCATCATAGGAGCAGAGAGGCTGACGTTTCGGGCCTAGACCCTTCATCAGAAAAGGGGGAGGGGAAGGGGGTTCTGAAAGAAATAGGGAGAGAGTGGGAGGCAGATAGAAGAGGGATAGAGGAGAGGATAGGTGGAGAGGAAACAAACAGGTCGAAGAGGCGGGGATGGAGCCAATAAAGGTGAGTGTAGGCAGGGAGTTAGGAAGGGGATAGGTCAGTCCAGGGAGGACGGACAGGTCAAGGGGGCGGGATGAGGTTGGTCGGTAGGAGATGGAGGTGCGGCTTGAGGTGGGAGGAGGGGATAGGTGGGAGGAAGAACAGGTTAGGGAGGCAGGGACGAGCTGGACTGGTTTTGGGATGCGGTAGGGGGAGGAGAGATTTTGAAACTTGTGAAATCCACATTGATACCATTGGGCTGCAGGGTTCCCAAGCGGAATATGAGTTGCTGTTCCTGCAACCTTCGGGTGGCATTGTTGTGGCACTGCAGGAGGCCCAGGATGGACATGTCGTCTGAGGAATGGGAGGGGGAGTTGAAATGGTTCGCGATTGATGTCTCGACGGCAGTTGGAGATGAAGAGGTCGAGGGAGGGTAGGAGGCCTTGGGGTGGTGTCCAGGAGGAGGGGGTGTGTTGGAAGCGGGAGAAGGGGTCAGTAGAGGGAGGGTTGGGTTCACGGTTAAAGAAGTAAGCATGGAGGCGGAGGCGGCGGAAAAACTGCTCTATGTCCAAGTGTGAGCGGTATTCGTTGATCTGTGGGTGGAGGGGGACAAAGGTGAGCCCTTTACTGAGGACTGACCGTTCGTCTTCAGTAAGGGGTAGGTCTGGAGGGATGGTGAAGACTCGGCAGGGCTGGGTGCTGCTGTCTCCTCTGGAGCTGCTGGCTGTGGAGTTTTAAACATTTCATTGCAGAGCTTAACTAAAACCTCTCAAGTCAGGTTTTAAAAAAGACAAGTAAAACAACAACTGAACATACGGAGACTTATTGTGCAGACTTAGCACAATTCCCTCAGAGAAGGCAGCCCCACAGATTGTGCAGATAATGGCCCATGATATTGTCTCCCCAAAGCTAAGTTTATGCAGCACTGACGGAAGTAGTATTTACGTTTATTTTTGCCAAATTTGTCTTTTCAGCTTCTTGTCATTTAGGAAAGATGAGGAAAGCAGCTTTGAGCTATCCAATTAGCACAAACGAGAAGCCTACAGCTTTCATTCAAATTTTAATTAGTTTATGAATATCATGTCTTGTTAGTTGCATCATTGGGTATGTCGTTTTGAGAAGTTGGCTATCACAGTTCTCAACTGCTCTCATCAAATCAATAAAATATCAACTTGCATTTATGTAGCACTCTTAACGCACAGAAACTTTTCAGGACACTTCAGAGATAAAAGGAATACAATGAAAAGCAACCACTTGGAAACAAGAGAAACAGGACGTTACAGCAGAAAACTTTGTTCCAAGGATATATTAAAAAAAAGATCATAAAAAGACATTGGTTTGAGTACCTTTGAAAGAGAACATAGATGTAACAGATAAATATTAATCAAATACTGAAACAATTTAGATACATTAGGATCTGGGACATGGTCCAGGTGGCTTGGCTGTGGCAGCCTGCTCATCAGAATTGAAAGCTGAGAAAAAGCACGCAGTGAACAGGAATTCCACACAGTCTTCCACAATATCCCAAGGAGTGAGGGCAGAATAATCCACAGCAAGCAAGATATAGGACAGCAGGGAGAACAAAAACAAAAATACGGACATGCATTTCTTCCCCCACTGCTCACAAATTAAATCTGATTGTCAATGCAGATGAATAATCCTTACCCAAGGGCATTAGATCTTTACATTTTCCATAAAAATTAGCAGCGGGGTAGATACAGAAGATATGTTTGTAATGTTTGCACACATCTAAAACAGGTCACAATAAGAAAACATATTCTGAAAGATTGATTTACTCCAAATATCTCTTCATATCCGTAAACCTGTGACACATGTTTTGCATAATTCAAGTGTACATACCATCATCTAAAGTCTTCTCATTGGTCCAATTTGTCCTCTCTTTCACATTCTTGAAATGGGGATGCTTTTCACTAAGTCCCGTATCAAACACTGCTACTTTCACACCAACACCTGGAAATATGATCAAAAACCAAACTGAACATCTACATTTAGTTATGGTCAATTTCCACATCAGATCATATTCGAACATTAACCTTTGGATTCAAACACTAATCGACCCACTTTGCACCAAATAACTTTAGTTGTGTCCACGACTGGAGGTGGGAAAGGTAGTATTCCCACACTCTGTCATCTCTAAACAATGCAGCTCAAAAATAACTGGCCAGATTTCATTAAATCAGCACACTGATAGGGTATGGCACAAGGGAGAACTGACTGGTTTTCGGTGAAGATGAACATCGTGTATTTTTTTAAAAAAAAAGAATGCTATAGGTTGTTCTATTTAGAACGTCATCAATTTTTTTGTAATGTTTTGGTAAACCTCAGTTCTTGTGGTGAAATGTGTCAAACTGTCAAAGTACGGGAGGAATTTTCAAAGCAGGTAATTCATATGGATGGATCTTATGCCTATTCAGTAAGATGGATGCATTTCAAACAAGCTTTCTTGTTTCAGCTTTGTCATGACCCAGCATCAACCATGTAGGGGAGAGTCTGAAGGAGGAGCTGAACAATTGTAGCAACGCTGGCTTAACAGCATGAGGGAGGAGAGGGAGGGATCTGGCAAGTGCTCTTTTCACTGGATTTGTTTAAAATTCACAGCAATTATGGCATTGATGCAACATTTAGTTACAATACTAGTATTAGTGATTTCCTGTTGGACACTAACCACAATCAACTTGTCCACTTCTTTAGTCTAGTTATCAGATCACAGTTGCATTAAGATCCACAAAGACATGACTACATACAAACAGTTTGGAATCAGCACTAAATTTGAAATGTCTCAGCTTACATTAAGTGATATATTATTAACAATGGCAAAGAGAAACAGGAAAAAGCTAATTCTGGTAGCAGCTTGGAAAATACATATCAGACACTGCCTCTGATGGGTATGCAATTTATTGCAGCTGTTTTTTCCTGTAGAAACCCCAGAACTACTGAAGTAACAATTTGAAGATGTGACCCTTAAAAGGAATCTTCCTCCACATTTTCTCCAGAATTACTTCTTGCCCCATTTATAATTGCAGACTTTGGTGCCAACTTGAAGCACAGTGTGAATCATTATCACTGGTACAAAGGAAGCAAATACATTTGTAAACATAAACCCTTTTGTTTCTGTTGTAGCAACTTTAATAATGGTAAGTCTAACAAGCAAGCAGTCAGATTTTTGGCGGTGGGAAGGGCAGGGAGCAGTGGAGAGAGAAAAAAAAAGGAGAAATCAGCATGATTTCATTACAATTGGTGCTGCAAAGACAGGATGATGTGTCAGACCATTGTTCAAAGCCATAAACTTTATCAACAACACGTGGTCTTCAACACCTAAACCGAACTGTGTTATATACACTATCATTTTGGTCATGAGAATATTGGTGAAGCAAGGCCTGCCAATGCTCAAATTTTAGACCTACTCAATTAACAGCTATCCAATTACTATACAAGCTCCTTGATGACAACAACTCTAGGATGGTATTGATCCTGCTATGATAGCTTAAGTCCCAATTTTCTGTCTTAGCTTCATCTCTGATGATTCTGGCAAAGAGCAAGCTCATTAATTCAGCAAAGTAGTTGTTGATTTTTTTATAAATTGGATTATGCAAGGCAGCTGAAAGACTAACCAGGCTTTAAGTGTTTTATGAAGAGATGGATTACAAATTTTGACCAAATTCAGTGAACTCCAAGGAGGTTAAAAATTCATCTGACACCAATGTCACTAATATTCCTAAAATGATGCACAATATTAACATTAAGCATCCTTCAAACGTCATGCAATATCATCATTCACTATTGCTGGAAAGCACCCCGGATCACTTTCTATGTGAAAGATGTAGCTTTGTGTGGAAGTCATTGTTATGTCCAGTCAGATCTTATCCAGAGTGCGTCTGCAAAAGTTCAGAGTCCAGGAAGCCATAAGTAATAACAGCATGGACTCGACAGGCATGGCAGTTCAGATTATAATTGGAAAGTAGCAAGATTTCTGGAGAGAGGAAATAGTTTACATACATTATTTATAGTTCAAGAGGAATTATTCATTTTAAGGAAGAGGAAAACATCACTAAATCTGAAAATCGAAAAACTCCAACGCTGGGCACGCAAGAAAAGGTCATCCATGCAAAAGAAAACAGTTCAAGGTATTTCCAAGCTAAAATAGGTAAGTTTGTGATTAAATTTAATATTCTTAACAATTAGTTTAAATGAGAATCAGTCAATTGAAAAGCAACAGGAGCAACAAAATAAGCTGGTGCAGAAATTTGAGCAACAGTTGAATGGTACTTGATAGCCCATGAACGCTTGGAGCAAAATACTACAGAAATGCTAGAACGTCAATTATTTGACTTTAGCCAAAACACATAACCAGAAGGAACTTAATGCAAAGGGTGATAAATATCTTGAATAGTCTGCCAAGCAAACTTCCAGGGAGATGAGAGCAGGGCTTTCAAAACTTGAATTTAACTAAATTCAGATGCTTCTTGAATTCCAGAAATAATGGAGAAAATATATTCAGGAACTTTACGTTAAACAATCAGATTTTATATCTTTGCATTTCAGATATTAGCTGTCACCTAATCTTATTCAAAATCAAGAATTTTAAAATGTGACCTTATACACTGGTGCACTTGAAGACGGAATATCTTTCATCCTCACTTTTGCTTCTCACGGGCAGCCTTCTAGAATCATAGAATCCCTACAGTGTGGAAGCAAGCCATGGAGCCCACTGAATCCATACCGATCCTCAGAAGAACATCCGACCCAGAGCCACCTCTCCGCCCTATCCGTGGACACTAAGGCAATTTGGCGTGGCCAATCCACCTAACCTGCACACCTTTGGGTGACAAGCTGGTCGTCATGTAGTATGCTTAATTTTTAAAAAATATATTTAAAAATAGATTTCTTCTAACAAGCGCCTTGAGTTTACTCTCAAAATTAAAAAATAACCTAAAGTGTCAAAAATTTTTAGATATGAAGTTACTAGGATCTATGTGAACCACTCTAGCACATTACTAAAACAACATCCAAGTTTTACATTAAACAAGACTTGGATATGTTAATAAAAATTCTTCCTAAAAAATACATTTGAAGGATATTTAACCAAACTAGTAATGTATATATTTACTCACAGCAGTCATAAAATACAAGCAATTAAATCTAACATCCAAATAATTAATGGGACCTCAGGAATTGTAGCTTTTTGCTGATAAGGCCATAAAAGAATTTCAGGGACATGTTATGCAGTTTTGCTATTCACAAGAAAACTAAAATCAGTGCATTTGATATCAACGGTCATAGCATGACACAAACATTATGCAGAAGGTACTTCTACAACTAAACGTTAATTTATTTTAAAAGGTTTAAAAGCATGTATAGATGAAGTTTCACAAAATATGGATAATGAGTTTTTGTAAATGCAAGTACATGATGTATATTTATTGGTTTCTAAATAGTGATCTATTCAAATCCTTAGCTTTATGGCTATAGCAACTTGCAAAACAACTACTCAATAAAATGCATTTGCATCACAAAACTGTTCTGATAAAGACTCATCAACTGAAGCTGTTTTTCTGTTCACAGTGACTGTCAAACCTGCTAAGTCCTTCCAGAATGTTGGCTTTTACTTACGATTTCTAGCATCAGCAACAGTTTGTTTTCACAACTCATTTTAACTTGACAGAGGGGGCTGCACAGCGAGACCAGTAGAAATCATCATCATAAACCTGTCCCCCTTAGAATGGTATCTAATTTATAACTGTGCTCCAGAATTGTTTTGGAAAGCGAAATGAATTCAGAGTTTGTCCAATTTTAAGCACTATGGGAAGTCATTCAAAACAGAAAACTTACTTCGTTCCAGCTTTTATCAATTAGATGAAATCAAATATTAGGTTGTTCAGCCAGTTACATGGCATTACCATCTACAGTCCCATACATACCTGTATGTCCCATCTGCCATAATACATCTGCCTGCAGTGTCTGAGCTACTTGCCGAGGGATAGCCCTCAACAGGCGTCTGCTTGAATGCCTGCCTGTAGCATGCCAGAATCCAGAGCCAAGGGAGAGGCTGGTTCTCCTGAGGGGTCTTGAAGACTGCCACTTCTGTGTCCATCTACTATCATTGCATGGCGCAGCTGAGTCTGCTGCAACAGAAACAAAAATACATTTAATGCCCAGTATTACAGGAAACATCATTCTGACCAGATCAGCAAAAAGGCTTTTTTTTTTATTTTTAGAAACAACACATTCACCCGAGAAAAGCTTTGAAACAGACCAATTTAAATGCTGTTTTAAAGCAAGAGGGAAACTGATTTACAAAAACAGACGTCAGAACTTTTAGACATTGTCAAACAGTGGCTGTCATGATCATAATACACATTGCTACCTGAATGATGTATTGCAGCAACTCATCAAGAGTTTTATTAAAAGTGCCCAAATCCACAGTTTCTCCGTTTTTCTCCATCTGCCAAACATTTGTCCAATTACTTAACCTATCTCTACACCTTTACAGATGATGTCCATCTCAACATGTTTTGCTACCCACCTTTGCATCATCAGCAAATAGTCTTGCCCTCCATCCAAGTCATTAATATAGATAGCAAATAATTGAGGTCCATTGATCCTGGTAGTACTCCACTAGTTAGTTTGCCCATTTGAATAGCATTCATTTACTGTCTCCCTGTTTCCTGTTAGATGGCATCCCACTGTATCCCACATTTACCATGGCTAATCCACCTCGATTGCACATCCCTAGACACTACTGGCAATTTAACATGGCCAATCCACTTGCAGTAGTTTCATTGTATCAGTAGCTCAATCAAAGGAATGACCATTACTGCTTTTACTCTTTGACAGGGCATCTGACACTCCCAAAGAAATCAGTGTTTGTCACCCAGCTTTTTATCCTTTGAAGTGCAAGGAATATGCTTGGCCATAAGATTCCAAATTACAGAGGCATATAATTCTGCTTCAGTACATGGCCAAGAGCTATATGACTGCCAAATTATAGAGATGGTTTGATACGTCTAACCTGGTCCACCTGATAAACATCAGAATGTTGTGTTTACCGTGGAGAAAACAAAATTGACTGGAAAAATATCTTGTATAGTTACTCTAATCGTTGACGTGGACAGATGCGCCTCCAAAAGTTGACGAAAACAATCTTGAGTACATTATTTCCTCAATGAGCAGCCACAGGTCGGGTTTGAAAACTATCACCTTCAGGGCTTGGCCAGCTCAGAATGTTAAGTGGTCAATTCTTGTTCTATTCTTAGATCGTATTTGCTATATTTCAATACCAAACTTTTAAACGGAGAAACCTTCAATGTCTTGTACAGGTGTGCCTTGTAAACATTCCTGAATGTAGCAAAAAGGCTGCTGGTTAAATCCCCATCCACTCAGCTGACAGTGGTCTTTTCGGAAAATGACTGACAAAGTGAGAAAAAGGTATCTTTTTGGATAATGTGCTACTTGCATGAGGGAAAGTACAGAAACACTAGATGATAATCAAGTTCTCACGAATGTAATGTCCACAATTTGAGCTTTCTTTTATCTCTGTATATAATTAACTAGGTGCATTTCCTGTTTGTTGTAAAGACTGCAAAGTGAAAAACATATGCAAGCTCCAGACCCAAAATTTCTCTCTCATTTTTGCATGTACTTCCAGTTGTCACATTTTCCATATACTTGATTGACATTTTCCATTGAGACTTGTGCTACTCACATTCAATGGAAAAAAAAAATCAACTACTTATCTGCCATTATTCAAATACAGGTGCCATTATTTCTACAACCCAACAATGTCTCCACCTCCCAGAATGTTTCTAATGCTTTTGAATTTTAGCAACATCAAGATTATTTGACGATAAAGATTAATCACACTGGGTGACCACCACTTTAAAAACTCTAACTCAAAACAGTTACAAATAGCACTCTTTTTTGACTGTGACCATGATAACAACTCCTGCTTAACTTTTAAGTGTCTATGGCATCCTTCTCCAACACTTCTCTATCCAGACTGACCCTAGTGTGGTTCCATTCTTATGGCATCATAGACAGAAAATCACCTGCAACCACTATACATGCTACACTTCCACTGTCCACCTAGGAGACATAAAGGATAGTTTGTTCTTTCTATTGCTCCAAATGTAACCCCTCAGCACTATCAGGTTAGTAAACTTGCAGCAACACTCGGTTCTCTAACTGCTACCTTCTTCCACTGCTCCACTGACTGGTTTGTCAGACTGCTTGCCTAACACCAGGTATAGGATGAGGCAGAAATGCACTTCAGTTAAGCACGGAGGAAACAGAAGCTGTCGTCTTTAATTTCTCCTACTAACAGTCTTGTCCATTTCCATTAGTGGCAACTGACCTAAACTAAACAAGACTCCTAACCTTGGTGTTGTATTTTAGCCCATGTTAAACTTATGACCATAGAGAACATAGAAGATTGCAGCAGCACTGGTCCTTCAACTACGAGCCTGTTCCATTATTCATTATGACCATAGCTGATCGTTGAGTTTAATACTCTAATCCCAATCGCCCCCAATAAGCCTTGAGCCCTTCAGTCACAAGAACTGTATCTAGCTCCTTTTTAAAAAAGGATGTTTTGGTCTTACTCACTTCCTTTATTAATTCTACAGGCTCACCACTCAAAACTGTTCATTTTAAGTGACTGAAGTTATACAAACATTTTGTAACTACAATTTTATCAAAATTGTCATTGCAAGCTTCTCACTTCATTTAAAAAGTATATTTTTAAAACAGACTTTCAGATGGAAATTAACATGCTGACTAACACCATGTAAACATACATGAGATTTCTTTGATACAATTTACAAACAGCTGAATGCAGAATCATAGCACTTAACATGAACAAATCGGCTGGCCGATTAGCCAAGTCAATTGCCAGGATACGTGGTTAAACTTCCTGGTTTCAGTCTAGCAGAGCAATGGTTTACTCCTAACACTCCAAATGTCTGGAATTCTAAATCTGCAGTCATTTCAAAGATTAAAATTACTCTACCACTGAATACTACATCGATTACCACCATGGTTTTCACAAAATTTCAATTCTCCATTATACTTACTCTCTGTGAATTTCAGGGAGCGGATGACTTTCCTCTGAGGTGTAACTCGTTTAATGTGTGGGTGGTCTTCCAGAGTTAATACAGTATCACGTTGTTTCTCCCTAATTTGAACAACCTCAAAGTCGCTTGGGTAGTCACTGGCAGGATTGTCGCGCGGAACAATTCGCCATTCCACCACATCCGTATTTTTCAGTGCACTAGAAATGAATTTGCTCCTGGCTGTGGCAGTGAAGTATCCCTTAAAAGCCACAATGTACTCTGAAATTGATAATATGGCACAATTAGTTTTTAATCATTCTTAAACATTAGATGTTTAAATATCAATGACACCCCCATTCACATGTTCAGGACAGGTCCCTTCTTGATCAGTATTATGATGCTCACATTGGCCTTCCCATCCCAGAGGTCTGAAAGTCAAGATGGCAAGAGGGGAGGAGGAAAAAGAGAGAGAGAAACAAGCTCCAGCTGAAGGAAGTACTACTGGCACAGGCTACAGGCATCTAAATGCTTCTGTGGTCCGAGGAACAACAGACTCCAATGGAATTATTCTTTTGTTGGGTTTTAACCCGAAACCTGCAATTTATCACATCCTTAAATGTGAGATGTGGACTTCTACCAAGCGCAGTTTTATTTTCCCCAATTATGTTTGTAGTCTAAACAGAATGTTTTTGGTAGTCTGTAACTGTTGTGTGGAGAATCTGCATTTTCAAAGTACCCAGGAGACCTGAGCAAGTGGAAACCATACAACCTCAAGCCTGTGCCAACATTCAATATAATCATGACGGATCTTGGACCTCACCTCTACTTTCATCTTCACCCCTACTCTCAACATCCCTCAAATCCTAGACTCTACAAATCTACCTGTCTCACAGTTAATGATGGAGAATCTTCAATCCTATTGGGTGGAGAATTCTAAAGATTCTCAACCCTTAGAATGAAGAAATTTCTCATCTGTTCCAAACAATTGGCTCCTTATCCTGAAACTATGCCACTTTCCAGTTTAGATTCCCCAGCCAGCATAAACAATCTATCTATCCTGTCAAGTCCTATGTTTCAATAAGATCACCACGAGTTCTTCTAAACTCCAAAGAATGTAGACTCACTTTACTCAGGCCTTCTTAATGGGATAACCTCTCATCTGTAGGAAGCAATCTGGGTGAAACTCTTCTGCGCTGCCTCCAACCAAATACAGTAGAATTTGCATAAACAAGCAGCCTCAAACTCCTCCGTCCTGATACAAAATGACACTTCATGAACTGGAATGCTTCACCCATCAGGAGCTCCAAATTCTCCCACTCCCTGCAACACAAATGAGCATTTTGCAAAGCAGACAACTTTTTTTTTAAGGCATACCAGCACCCATGTCTATTTGAAGTGCTGTCAAGGAGCTGTTGGAAGTTCTGTATGTTACTGGGACTTATGATTACTACTGAACTTGAGAAAGCAGCACTCGTGCATTTTTCCTTCCAAATGTGATTTCCCCTCACTAACCAGTATTTTCAATTTACCAAATAAAAACCAGAAGAACTGCGGATGCTGTAAATCAGGAACAAAAACAAAGTTGCTGGAAAAGTTCAGCAGGTCTGGCAGCAGCTGTGAAGGAGAAAACAGTTAGCGTTTCGGGTCCGGTGACCCTTCCTCAGAATTGAGTCCTTCACAGATGCTGCCAGACCTGTTGGGCTTTTCCAGCAACTTTGTTTCTGTTCTCAACTTACCAGCCCAACATAATCTCAGTACATGTGACACAAATTTTACTGTACATCCCTAAATAAGATGACCAAAACTGCCCACAGTACTCCAAAGCTCTATAGTAAGACATCCTTATTCTTGTTCTCCATTTCCCTTGCAATAAAGGCCAGCATCCCATCTGCCCTCCAAATTGTTTGCTGTACCTCACACTAACCTTGAGCTTAGGTAGGCACAGCCAAGCCTCTCTGAACAAAGTTTACAAATTTCCACTTAAACCCTGCCTTTTTACTTACACAACCAGAGTTAATAAAGCCACACGTGCCCTCATTATACACTGTCTGGCATAATGTTACCCACTCAAATTAACCACTTTTTTTTTTGCATCCTTCTTGCATTTCCAACTAACATTGTATCATCAGAAAACGTTTCTTATTCAAGTTACAGTTGTGAAACCCTAGCACTGATCATTGTAGCCCTCCATTAATCTCAGCCTCCCAACTTTAGAGTGCCCTACCTGCCTACACTGCTTCGTGTCAGTCAACCAATGCTCTATCCATGCTAATAAATTACCCCAACCCAATGAGTCCTTAGCTTGCCTGTTGTCCTTTCGTTGGCATCATATTGCATGTTTTTTTGGAAATCCAAGTACACCAAATCTACAGATTACCCTTTCCCTACCCAGCCTTCTACACCTCTAAAAATAAACTCAATTTTTTCCCAAATAAACCTTCCTTTCATAAAATTATGTTGACTTTGTCTGATCACACTATGATTCCCACCCCTCACCCCCACTCGTACGGCTGAATAGATTCCAGCATTTCCCCAATGACTGATGTCAGGCTAACTGGCCTGCAATTCTGTGTTTTTTTCCCCTAGACCACATTTCCCTTGAAGTCACATTTCTAAACACAATCCGCTGAGACTGTTGCAGAATCTAGGTAATTTTAGGAAATCGTAGTTAAACGAAACACGTACTTCTGCAGCTATTCCTTCACAACTCTAAGAGGTAGGCCATCAGGATCTAGGGATTTTTCAAATTTTTGCCCCTTGGGTTTTTCTAGTACACTTTCATCTGCCTTTACTAATTACCCTCTCAAACTCCCAGGCTGCTTGATATTTCTAGTATGCAACTTGTGTTTGTTCAATGCCTCTGTTATTGAGGAAATGGAAAACTTCCGGTATCTTTTCTGAAGAATCAACATTTACTTTAGCTACTCATTCTGTTTATGTATTGGTAACGCGCTATTTGTTTTCATATCCCCGGTTAGTTTATTGTCATCCTATTTTTCCCACTTTTATCATCTTTTCTTGCTTCTGATGTAATCCCAAGCCTCAGATTTTGCACATTATTAGGTTCTTCTTTTAATTATTTCCCCTCATCACCTGAGTGAGCCACAGATGGTTTGCTGACTTGCTGTTTTTATATCAGTGTATTTTATTGGCTACTCTTAACTGTTTCTTTAAATGTGGATCTCTATTTACATAAAAACAAAAAATCTAGAAGTTTGCAATATGGATTCAGTTTGAACAATAAAATGAAAAAAGTGATGAGAAAGAATACATCAGAAAAAAACAAGTGAAGTTTGAAGTGGATGTTGTCATACTGGAATAAGAGGATATGTTTTGTCTATTCAAGACAAAAGAGAACAGTAGATAGTCAATATGAACTGCAAAACAACAAATGTGGAGATCACAGGTCATACAGCATCCATGGTGAGAGAGCAAGCTAACTGAGTCTAGATGTCTCTTCACCAGCTGACGCAGGAGTTTGGATAGAGATCGTCAGAAGTAAATTTGTGAAGACAAGGCTGCGAGAACAAAAAAAAAACTCAATGCTGACAAGGGAGAAAAGAAACTCAAGATGCTGCACTTTATTTACGTTCAGAAACCTGGACAATAAGTGCCTATGGAAGTAAACAGAGGTCTTTGACGTGTAGATGCTAAGACACGCTAGAATTCTAAATACAGACTATAAGAAACGAAAAGGTATTTGAGATTGCCAAAAATTGCAAGAGTGAAAAGAGCTATAAAAAGACTCAACGAGAAAAGAAAATGCCAATTCATTTGATCAGAGTTAAAGATCTCTTCCAGAGGGCAAAATGGTCAGCAGCAGAGCGGGGTCAACCTGAGTGTGTATCTATGACGGACATCACAATGGTTGCAGACAAGCTATGGCGGATGTTTCCAGATAGTACAAGACCGATGAGTATGAAGTACCGTGACAGCAGATGTCATGGCAAGAGTAGCTACAAACAGTAGCAGGTTATTTACAGCTATACTTTCAAACAACCTTTGTCAACTCTCCCCTCATTCAACTTAAAGCCAATTAAGTAAGTAAGTGAGAGTCTTGTTAGTGAAAGTTGTCTGGTGATTTCAAAACTTAGCATTGATGTTGATTGTATTGAGAACAAACTCGCAGTGCCTCTATTGTTGTGAAATTACTGATTAACCATGCTTATTACACAATTAGTAGTTGTATCCCTCACTGATGCAACAACATATTGATTGCTCTAGCCAGGGTGAAGATTAAAGGCCTTACATCTACTACACTTCTTGTTGCATGGGACAATAATTTCTCAATTAACATTCTATCCAACAGTACAACTACTATTAGGTGACCTGCATTTTCTGACATTTGCTGTTCCTAAACTCCATCCATGCTGATTCAACTCCAAAGAGCCTTCCTCATTAATGTCTTCATGCCATTCTGTATTACCAGGGCTACCCTTCTCCCTTTGGCATTCTCTCCGCCCTTGGTACTGTGTATCCTGTAATATTCATTCTCCAGCCTTGGTCACAGAGCAATTAGATATAAACTATTTATCCCTATTTATGCCACTATCTCAATTTTGATCTACCTTTGTCTGATTGCACGAAACCAAATTTGCAGATGACAAAAATGTGTGGAAAGGGCAAGTTGCAAGAGAGATACAAGCAGTTTACTTAGCAAGATAGTTAAATAAGCAGGGTAAAAAAACTGGTAAATGGAATATATAAGTATGGAAAATGTGAAGTTCATCTTGGGAGGGAAAGCAAAGGAACAGCATCTTAGTTAAATAGGGAAAACTGCAGAAAGCTGCCACATAAAAGGGACTTGAGGTACTTGAGCACAAAACACAGAAAGCTAGCACATTGATGCAGCAGGTAATCAGAAAGGCTAATGAAATGTCGTCCTTTTTTTCAAGGGGGTTGGAGCAAAAGTATAGGGAAGTCTTACTGCACTGTATAAGGCACTGGTGAGACCACATCTGGAAGAGTAGTGAGAACTTTGGACCCCTTATTTAAGGAAAGATATAATTTAATTGGAGGCAATTCACTTGGAAGATCCCCGCATATGGAATGATTGTCTTGTGAGGAAAGATTAAAACAGGTTAGGACTCTACTCAATGGAGTTCAGAAGACTGAGGGGCGATCTCATTGAAAAGTATAGGATTCTTAAGGCATCTAACAGGGTCAATGCTGAGAAGATGCATTTCTTCATGGGAGAGTCTAAGACCAGAGGGTATAGTTTCAGAATAAAGGGATACCCATTTAAGCCTGAGATGAGGAGGAATTTATTCTCTCAGGAGAGTCGAGTGTCTCATTCTCTACGGCACAGAGTTCCAATGGGGACAGATTCCTTGCGTATCGTTATGAGATAAATTCTTGATCAGCGGGGGAAACCAGAAGATAAAAGACAAGTTTTTCAGAGGCCCAAGCCCCAGCCTCCCAAAGCAAATGATAAACAATTACCGCAAATGCACCACTGTTATTTTGCTAAAAGTAAAGTGCTAGTCTAAGCCAAGAACATCTCTTGAGCAGTGCTCCCATCAAATCCCATTCATTAGCTGAACTTCTATTTTTAGCCAACTGCCCCACTTTAAAAACAGCCTAAAGTCGAATATAAAACACATTTCAAATACCAACATTCAAACTAAGCTTTCAGGCAGCCCTTCAATCAGCTGAAATGAGTCTAGAATTCTTCCTATACATACACCCTGCCTTTCACTGCACAACCACAAGGAATGGTTTTAAACTCACATATTGACTCCAAACTAAAAATAAAAAAGCCTGCTGCCTTTTAAATAGCGAACTATAGAAATGATACTTCTATTCACGTGTGGTCCTTTGCACTGCAAACGAATCCATTTTAGAATTCAAAAGATGACGGAGAAAATTTATAAAGAAAGCGAATGAATGAGTACCAGAGATATGAAAAATTACAATAGGTTTAATTGGTAAGTAATAAGAAAAAGATTAGCAAGATTAATCATGAGCGCTTAAATGCAAAGACTAAAGAAATAATGGAGAATGAGGCAAAAGCAGACTTATTAGACAAATACTTATCTTCATAGTAGATGGCAACAGGACACTTGGCAAATCAAAACATCCCACACTGTAGGGATTCTATGATTAGCAAGAGTCATATTTATAATGGATAATAGTGCTCAAAAAATCTGTATCTCAGGGTGCAACTCGTAGAATGGATAAGACAGCGAACCAGTGCACAATTGGACTTTCAAGAAGTATTTGGCAAAATGCCACACAATAACACCACAAAAAACTGGGAAGAAGGATTGGAGTAACACTAATACATGCAGAGAGGTTGAAGGAGTGGATGAGAATCTGACAGATGCAATAAATTTGGGGAAGTGATAAATTTCCATTTTGGAAGGGAAAACAAAAAAGTCGAATATTTTCCAAATGGTGAAAGACTGGGAGGTGTTGATACTCAGGAGCTGGATGCCTTTGTATACCACAGAAAAGTATTGTGCAGGTAAAAATCAAGCAAACTATTAGAAAAGCAAATGGTGTGTGGGAGACTTTATTACAGAGTATCTGGACAATACTGAAGTATCCAATGAGGAGGAAGAGTGAAAATCTTACTGCTTTGTAGAGAGCCATAGTGAAACCACAGTAGAGAAACTGTTTGATAATCTAGCGCTGGTGGAACAATAAGCTTATACATGAAAACTGACTGTTAAAGAGGGCAACATGTAAAAATAAATAAAGGGGCGTAGGATTGATCTTCTGGGGAACATCAGATATAATTGCATGGGAGTATCAGAAGAAGAACCTATTGTAAGGTGATTATTGTTTGCAATTGAAAACAGAAGAATGGAATCCCGAAAGTGCAAACTAGCTGGGTAATCGAGGAATAGGATAATGTGGTCAATTGTGCTAACTGAACACAGGCAGATGTGAAAAGTGAGGCAAAATAGTTCACCCTTGCCAAAGCTACAAGCTGTGTTTCCTCACTGGCCACAGCCCACTTCTGGCACTATGCAGTCTCTAAGATCACTGCACAGATGCGCCTCCAGAAGGGACCACTGCTTTTGTTGTTTTGCATACTGCACCCCACCCCCCCAAACAACCATAAGTAGCCAATTCCCAACTTCCTGCACCCATGCAGCTCAAATGGAACATGTGTCACACTGGGAAAGGTAACAACACATTTGGGAAGCAACAACATAGGGAGGAGGTTGGAATTGGGATAGTATTAAGGTCAAGAGTGTACTTTTGAGAGGGGCAATGTCAGCATATCAGCTAATGGAGATTAATGAAGGGAAGCTGGGCAGTTAGCAGTTGAATGAGAACAAGGTCAAGGGAGGTTGTGGGTCTTATGGATAAGATGAGCTGACAGGGGATCTCAGGTAAAAGAAGAAAACTAGAGAAAGGCAAGACTTTCAACGAGGGTTATGGGAACTTTAGGTTATGTTTGGCCTGATGGACTTGGATGGAAAAGTGCCAAAAGCACCTGATCAAATATTCTCAATACACATGACGAAGCAGTCCATGAGCTCTTTACGTTTTTTGGTGGAGGTCAGGAAATAGGAGCAAGGGCATGCTTTCGGCCCTTTGGTTATACTCCACTGTTCAAATAATTCACGGCTAATTATCCTAACTCAATGCCATTTTCCCCACACTATTCACATATCCCTCAATGTCTTTAACGTCTAGAAACCCACTGGATCGGAGTCCTGAACACACTCCATGACTGATTTTCCAAGGCTTCTGGGATAGAGAATACCAAAAAGAGTTACTATCCTGAATGATAAAATGTCTCATCTCTGTTCTCAACCGCCTAACTTTTATTGAGACTACGTTCCTGGGTGTAGGCTTATAGCCCGGCTAACCATCCTTCCTACATCCACCCTGCAGAGTAGTGAGACAGCAGCGGAATTTAAGATGAATCTGATTAAATTCAAATCCAGATCCTGTGAATGTACAACTAAATCTAAAATCAACAACTTAATTTGCCATCA